GCTATTTGTATGTTTCACTTCTTTCCGGGTTATTTGGACGAAGACTTTCGGTCATAAGTCCGTCAGTTACTGGGACTCAGCTACTGCTATTTTTATTCAGTCTGGAAAACTTGATCAACGTGAGCCCGTATTGTTAGCGATTATCGCGACTAATTCTTGTGTTAACGATTTAATGCAAGCTTGTTGATTAATGACGCTCATAGCGGTATTTTGAAATTGAACGATGCTTTAATATTCCGAATCACTCTATGAAATAGAACAGTGATTTGTACTAAAGCTTAAGGTTGGTAAGATGTGAAATTGCTGTTGGATATATGGATAGCATATGAATGCGTTTATTAAGTTAAAATGGAAAGGTTGTGGTGATTTATTGGGCAATGAGACGCAGATGGTGTTTTATTGTGTTGGTGTGATTGTGCTCGTATGTTTCGGTGTTCGTGTACGCAAAATGGACACAGCCTGCCTGGCTTGTCTAAGAAATTATGCGGAAAAAAGACAGCAGCTATTCCTTATTGATAGTTTGTCTTCTCTGTATTCATTTACGTATATATCCTCGAGTGTCAGTCACGTAACGACCAAATGCTTCGCTGAGTTCAGTCAGCTTTAATTTGGCTTTAACTAAACGATGATGCTCTAACATCCATTCGTCAATCCCATATCATACTACACCTTCTTTATTCCACTTCGATCTTACAAATCGTTATCCTCTCAAATCCATCATTACCTTTCGTGATTTCTTGACGGCTCCATCTTGGACCAGATAGAGAATAAACGGTGCATTCCGATGTATCTTGTTGGTTCCTTCATTCAGATTCAACTTAATGCTTATGTTTTTTTGTTTGCATCGAGCGGTTGATTGAGAAAATGTTGATCGTGAAGGTAAATCGATTGAGTTCGTCGAATAAAACTCGGTTCTAAGTGCAGTCAACTTTCAGTAGGCTGTTCATTTCGATCCGCAAAGAGATCCTCGTTATCGTCATCACGTCGTCGTTTCTCATCGTCACCAAGTTACAAACTATCCGAATCGCACCAAATTCGTCTCAATCAAAGCGATCACTCTGCTAGTAGTGGAATCATGATAGTTGACCGTGATGATTCGCTGAGGAGTAGCACCACCACTCCAACGTCAATAACACCTCACTCAACCACCACATCTCAAATGCCACCCGAAAATGAGATCCTGAACGCCTTCGAGGATGTGCTCGTTAGTGCTTAAACTATTTAATGCTCATGCGATCTTCTTTTGCGCAAAGCAAATCGAATATGATGAGTAGTAATCAACTTGAATTTTCCATGTGTTTGTTCAAGCGAACTTTCTCTTTTTAATTGATCATGAATATGAATGCACGTAGATTTATTGAAGAAATTGACTGGAATTAACGATTTATTCGTGGCTCTGCCATT